CTCGGATTTTGGTGCTGCTGATGAATATCTGAATCGTTGAAAGGTTTCAAAGTTTTACAGGTCACAATTGATTCTAATGAGATGCTTTGTATCGACCTTTTATACACCACAAAAAGTTACGCGATTATTTATAGGCCGATAATTACGTTATTCTCATCAGTGATAATCTGTGAGGAAGTAACGTGAATTTAATTTACGACACATATTTAAATGCCCATTGATTTTCATTCATCAACGAGAATCGGAGTAACTGTCAAACCGATTGTTTACGGTCGAGCACACGATGTGATGATTTAAGCAAAGTCGGGGCTCCTAAATTGCAATCTAAGTGCTTTGCATCTTCACAGTGTAGTAGACCGAGACATTCCGCAACCGATTGAAACGTTATCGTGTTTCTCGTACCGGCGCGATGCTTTATACACTGCAAGTCGCAGTAAACGTTTCTCGTCTTACAGCTTCTCGATTCGCGTGATTGCATAGTCGCGATGTATAGTTGCACGCATGTTTCGCCTCTTCTCGCTGGCGCGATGTAGCCTGCAGGGATCCGCTTTCAAGATCTGCCCGATCGACACGCATATGTATATTTTCTTGAATCTCTCGAAGAGACTAGCGTGATTATCTACAATCATTGAATTTTGAACGATTATCAGTATTACATTCAATTAATGGATATTACCGCGTCGTGTGTACATTCAGCGAGAGATCACAAATCATCTGTCATGATGAAATTACAATTGTTGCGATATCGATCTTTTTTGCATTCGAAGATTTGTTGAACTTGAAAACAGAATGAAGAAACTATATATACAGGGTGTTTCAGAGTTAAATGTTCTAATTTAAAATATAAGTTTAGAATCTCGAAACAAGAAAAAATTTTCCTCTGGAGGTATGCCCGTAAACGTTTTGTTTAAGAGATATTGACATCTAAACATTTTCATTATAAAATTTTATGAAATTATTATCAGATTATAATAAATAAATTAATAGTGTATTTCAACTACTTTATTACTAGAAAATATGAAAATTTTAACAACAATTATAAATTTTGTTCAAAGTGACGGCCTTGAACATTGAGACAAGCTTGGCATTTCTCAAAAATTGTTTTGGTTTTTGATATGTCAATATGGTGTTTGTGTACCGTTTTTATAATGTCAATATCGACATGTACAGTTACGGAAACAAATATCAGCAGTATTTTAGCAGTCGTACATTTTTATTATTCCTACCCATAATTTTAGATGTCAATATCTCTTAAATAAAGTGTTTACGGGCATATCTCCAGAGGAAACATTTTTCTTGTTTTCAGGTCCTAAATTCATATTTTAAGTTAGGACATTTAACCCTGAAACACCCTGTATATACAAATACGAATTATTTATTTGTTTTTTATAAAATTTATATTATAAAATGATGGATGATATATTGATATTGTTTTCCATCGATGAAAAATAATTGGTTCAAAAAATTGATATAGTCATTTATTTTCATTGCGGGGACCTTTATTGAACGGTATCATCATCCTCACGGTCTATTCACCGTTAACTTTCGATCGAGAGAACGACGACGATGAAGAGCGGGAGTACCGCGGGAGTACCCAGGTTGGACATTTAAATGCAAATGCACTTTTTACTTATATTTATATGCAAATGAGCTTTTCCTGCGATGAGAGAGGAAGACCCGGGACGCGCCAGCGTTGGCGATGAACACGACGTGCTCGAGAGTTGTCCTCTCCTGCGTATTCTATACGTTGGGAAAAAGCAGTCGGCACGCGATATCGGAAGATAATTAATGTATTGTCCGCGATAAAGCAAAATGCGTCTCGCGCAATTAATTAAAATTGCAAATTTCCGGAAATTTTTAGTGATCATTTTAGTAATTGTCAATCATTGTATATATGTATGAGGCTATTGCATTCGTAAAGATCATTTAGATGATCAGTTAAACCGCGATACTCGACTAATTTTTTAATTAAATAAAAATTTATTGACTTGTAACAATATAATGCAGGTTAGTAGGAAATAATCGGAACATATTTTAAAAGAAACTACTTTAAATATGAATAGCGCGACGCAAGCATGTGACACACTTTATGAAATACGGAAATGCGATATTCTTCTTTGTAGAGTCTTTCCATCGTTTAGATGCTCGAAAAGCTTAAAGGAAAGCTGCATAGGCTTTTGAACGACTATCGCCCTATTATAGATGAATTCACGAGGGCGGCAAGTAACGGGGTGAATTCTTCATACGTCGGGGGAACAATATGCTCTCGAGTTACGAAGAATTTTTCTCCAGGCACATATTGCGACGACCCTTATCGTTTCACGTTAGGGGAATTCCATTTGGAGACATCGTGCTTTTTTCCTTCTTGTGCCATGATATGTTTGCCGATCAAAACTCATACATACAATGGTCGGTTCTTATATCTTTATCGGTTATATCTTGCAGTCTCTTCGCCAATCATTGTCATCCCTAAAGAGAATATGGGAATTAGATTTTTTACTATATTCCAAGCATCCAATTTTCGTTTGTAATTGACACTAAAAGAAATTGCTAAACTGATTGTTTCGATAAAATCTAGAAAATATATCGTATTTTCAACTACTTATTCAAACGAATTAAAAATATTAATTGAAAATTAAATCGACATTATATAATATATTATTTAATACATATTAATCGGATTATTTATTTATTTAAAAAACAGGAATAATATGATTCTCTTGAATTAAATATATATTGAATTTTGTATCAAAATAGTTTTTTGTTGCGTGGAATCAATATCAGAATTAAATAATTTTTTAAATTATGTTTGATAGCATAAATTAATATGTCCTTTTATATGCAATTATAAAACTGTATCGAGAAATTTATAATTTAAATCTTTTATCTTTAATTTAAATTTTTACTTAAGATGCCCATTTAATTTCTATTGTTTTATTTCAAACTAAGTGCAAATTAACTAACTTTGCTGAAAACTAATTACAAATTAAATATTTTATAATGTGACAAGTAAATGTAATATCTTTATATTAATATTTTCGTTATCTCGTTTAATCTGTTTTCCACAGTGTACGTAATTTTCTACAATGAGTTGCATATTAATGAGATTATAATGTCTGTTATTTATTATCGCGCGTCACGGCATCGAGCGTGTTAATTGAATATTTCGTAAATGGATGTTACCACGGTTTTTTAATGATTTGTATCGAAATTGCATTTCGGATATTACAATGACATCACGATTTTCTGTAAATAATATAATTTATTTACAGGAGATTTTTAGTTTCAATGAGAAAAAACTCTAGATATATAGAGCTGCCGATGCAATTGCAGTGCATGCAAGAGACAAACGTCTTCGTTGTTGTTCTTGCTAAACAGCCTTGTCGTCTGTTTTACCGTCGAGAGAATCTTTCGTTAAAGAGAGGAGTGGATTTGCAATCCGAAAGTTGTCAAGCGCACATCGCGATGCCTTAATGGAATTTGAATGTCGTTAGTCGAAGTAACCGGGCGTAAGGAAGGGACGTTATCCCTATTACCGCGATGTCGTGGAGTCTCGCCCTACGGTGTGTACGAGTCGCCGAGTTTATTGGAGCACGAAAATGCGCCGGTTTCGTCGTCGATCTTGTCCTTTGGTAGTTTGGGATTATCGCTTGTTTGTGAGCTTACAAGAACACGGTGCCATAATTAGCATGCCCATTATGTTTCTACGTCGTAATATGTCATTTTCGAACATGTAAGAGGAGATACGATCTTTGCGTCTCTCACGTTACTTAGGAAAAAAAGTTTAACTGTGCGAGTGTAATCGTGCAAAGTTTTTGTGCTAATTCAGAGTATCCGGTGTTACAATAATTCACAGCGAACTTATAACACGATGACCGTATAAAGTTACTCGCAATAGCACTTGAGTAGAATTGCACAGTATGCACGGAGAATGCAAGGAAGAATATAAATGAAGAGAATGGAAAAGACTTTCTGACTGTGAGTAACTTACACGACTGGTTTACGATTAATCAATTTTTTATTCCTCACATGCTTTCAATTGTGCAATGCGCTTATCTACAATGTTGGAATAATGGAGCATTATATGCCTGATCATAAGAAGTAAATACAGCGAGAGGGATCGGAAAAAAGGAAAAGGGTCTATTAAAGGATTTATTAATTATATTTTAAAAATTGTCGTTATTCATCGTCTTTTTTGTATTGATACAATAAGAAATTTTAATGCTAATTTTTGTACGCATTTTATGCAATTTGGCATGACATTATCGTGTGTGTGTGAAGCTAGCATATCATTTCGTGGAAGATCATAAATCATTAAGAGTTCTGGTCGTTCTGCCATTCCAAAATCACGCTGTCAAATCAAATTAATAAAATTAATAATAGAATGTCATGTATATGACGAACGAATGTAGCGGAGAGATTAAAGAAAAATGAACGTCGTGACGAAGCGAAACAAAAGAGCGTGCAGTAATTTCTCGATGGAATGCTTGAAAATCATCGTTTAAGATCCCGAATAGGAAAATGACAGAGAATAGACGGAATTCTGCCATCGATGTGTTACGAAGGAGGAGTCGCCAATACGGCGCCGCTGCTACAGGTTTCTTTTTTTGCATAAAATAGCCGATTTCATGGAAGCCGCGTGGGAAATTATCCGGGATAACCTTCGAAATACTCGTTCGCGACATTCGCGCGACATTACATAGGCGCGTGATATTGCGACACAGACGGATGCATCGTGCATGACACTGAGAGTCAAAGGGTTAATGACTGCGACTATTCTCATTCGTATAGTCGCGACGACAATAACGACGACGAGCAACTGAAAAAAAATATGGCAGAAATTGGTGAATATTTTTTAAAATATTAAACGCCGACGCGGCGCGTCAAAATAAACGTTCAGCGAGGAAAAAAAATATCGAACATAGGAGAATAGGAGGGGAAATGGCGTGTATTAAATATAGCGCGACTTTTACAGAATGAACAAATTCCCGTATTGCCCGATGTTCGCGATGAACAAACTCTTTTGTTCGCGCAGCCTGCATAGGTGGATTTTCTTTGGGATGCGGTCTCGGTTGGAGCGCGCCCTGCGTCGAAATACTAAAGAGCGACAAGTACAACATGGACGATTTCTCGACGGACGTGATCGCTTCGGTGTTTCCGGTAGGCGCGGCCCTCGGCACGCTCGTCGTGCCCCTGCTGATCGACAGGATCGGCCGGAAGTGGACGATGATGGTCTTGGTTCCGGCTTTCGTCGGCGGCTGGATCTTTCTCATCTGCGCGGGCTCGTTGGTACCGCTCTTCGTTATGGGAAGAATAGTGACTGGCGCCTGCGGCGGCATGTTCTGCGTCCTGGCGCCCATGTACTCCGCAGAGATCTCCGAGAAACAGATCAGAGGTATATTATATCTGGTGATCAAACTCTCAACTCTTACATGTAACTGACGATATGGCTCTGTCGTTATTTACGATTCGGATATCTGGAAAAGAGCCGGCGACATGATTTTCTAAATCACATCATTATTCTTATCAATTTCGAAATGTCTGATATAACCACATTTTTTGAAGCACATATGCTATTCGTATAAAAAGAATATATTGAAATAGATATACATTTTTGCGTGAGATATAAGGAATCTCGAGTACGGATAATTCAATGGTAATAACGATGTGTGCTGTAACATAATAATCGGGGGATATATAATCGTGGATATAATCGGGGTAGAAAATAAGATAGCTTAGCGAGCGAGGCTATTAGTGGCTATCGTCGTTCATCACACGAGCTTCATTCTCCTTGCATCGCTAATGCTTAGGCGCGCGAAGAGAGGCAAGAAGTAGCAGCTTCATTATGCGATTCATCCTTTCTCGTAACAGGAACGACGGGTGTCTTCTTCCAGTTGTTGCTCGTGCTCGGTATACTATACGCGTACTGCACCGGTTTCACGCGAAACGTGGTCGCGATATCCAGCCTCTGTTGCATCGCGCCGATCGTGTTCGGCATTACGATGATCTTTATGCCGGAAAGCCCGTTGTTCTACTTGACCAAAAATAAGGAGGAAGAAGCGCGAAAGTCCATGAAATTCTTTCGCGGCCCAGATTTCGATATCGAACCGGAGATGGAGGCGTTTAAGGTTTGTTGATTATAATTAAAATTTTTTAATTTGACTAGCAAATAAATTGACATTTCTATTCATGATTTTTAATACAGTCTCTTGAAGCGTATAAAAAATATATTAATTCGTAAAATAATTTTGTAATTAAAGAAAATATAAAATAATTTAAAATTTATTAGAATCTTAATTGTTAATTTTTATCTTATACAAGAATGTCTCTTATCCATTTTTAAAATAAGATAGTTGAAATGCTTAATAACGGGGGATATTAATCGATGTTTTTGTATAAAAACACCGGGACGGAAACAGAAACAAGTGGAAAGAAGCAGGCTCCAAAGATTAAATTTCTCGGCCTTCACGAACACGCCTGTGTTGAAGACGTTGGCCGTGGCCTACGGTTTGATGTTTGCCCAGCAATTCAGCGGCATTAACGCCATGATATTCTACGGTGTGACAATTCTCGAGTCGACGGGCGTTGGCATGGAGTCGTTAATCGAACTCGTCATTTTCGGCGTCGTCCAGGTGGTAGCTTGTGCGGCGGCGGCGCTTTTGATTGACCAGGTTAACTTTAACAGATTACTGCGATATCGAATCGTGTTCCACAGATTACGCGATCTATAATTTATCTATTAGCCGGCTGGCATTACGGCTGCGATCGAAACGTTCGCAGCTGGGACGTAAGGTACTCATGGTAATCTCAGAGGCGGTAATGTGTGTTTGCCTATCGGCCCTGGCGAGTTTCTTCATTCTGAAGAGCTTTGATCCGGAGCGGGCAGATCATATGCATTGGCTACCACTCACGTCGGTGTGCGTCTACATACTTGCCTTTTGCTTCGGAGCTGGTTAGTAATAATGATATGCAACGAGCGAGCTCAGACACCTACTAATCGGGCTATCGGAAAATCGCGAAAGTGCATATCTTACATCCTCTTTTTTTTTTATTTTTTAGAAAGACACCGAAAGCCATTATATATATATTTCGCGCATACATTTTTTAAAATTAAATTTCTCTCTCTTTGTGTCGAAGAAAGAAAGAAAATCTTTACGTTTAAATAAGTTTTATTTTTCCTCGTTTATATGAAATTACTTTCTTACGGTTTTTAATAGCAATCGCATTAAATGCGAGTGTTAACGAGAAAACTTTAGCGAGCCGATTTAATTTAGGTCCAATTCCCTGGGCTTACATGGGCGAGATTTTCCCTACGCGTTTGAAGGGCGCATCGTCATCCAGCGCGGCTTTCTTCAATTGGTTGCTGGCCTTTATAGTAACAATATCTTTTCCAAGCGCAGTTGACGCGCTTGGTAGTGCCATGGTGCTTTTTTTCTTCGCCCTGGTGTGCGCTCTGAGCGTATTCTTCGTCATCTTCTGCATGGTCGAGACCAAAGGCAAAACCTTTACGGAAATTCAACAAGAATATGGGACACTTGAGCTCGAGCAAAATGAAGAATTTTTGGGATAGGATGAAGAATTTCTTCGAAATGAAGTAAAATAATCCCTCTTCCACGAAACAGCAGAAGAATTTTATGAAAGATGAATAAGGATAAGATGACGCGAAATTGATCATGTTTATTTCGACACACAATTTGATTCAATATTATGCACTTTGAGGCTATCATTTTATATATATTAATATATATATATAAATAAATAAAAACTATAAATACATAAAAATATAAACAAGCAGCATCTTTGTATTATTTCATATTGATAATATTTATTATAGATTGCGAGATATTGTATGTATCAATAAAAATATCTTTTAATGGTGCCTTAAAATTATCTATAAATATGTTTTTTATTTAAATTTATATTTGAGATAAATATCAAAATTTTATTAAGGTTTATTAAGAATTATAATTACACGATCGGCGCGTAACACTTTCATCGAACGGTAATTTGACAAGCCGTTTTGCTTAAATAACTTTGTCGAGAACGTGGGCGTATAATGTCGACTAAAATATAATTGCCAGATAAAAGTGAATTCCTGACGGGAAGTGGGACGCGCGATAAAAGCGGCAAACGAGACCGGCAATGTAAGCGGGGAGGATGTGCCGGCTAAACTTGAACCGCGATATTATATGCAGCGCTACGTGCAACGATACGCATCGTGAGCAGTCATTGCACGCGTATGGCCTTGGCCGAATCGCGTTTGGAATTTTATGAAAGATGAATAAGGATAAGATGACGCGAAATTGATCATGTTTATTTCGACACACAATTTGATTCAATATTATGCACTTTGAGGCTATCATTTTATATATATTAATATATATATATAAATAAATAAAAACTATAAATACATAAAAATATAAACAAGCAGCATCTTTGTATTATTTCATATTGATAATATTTATTATAGATTGCGAGATATTGTATGTATCAATAAAAATATCTTTTAATGGTGCCTTAAAATTATCTATAAATATGTTTTTTATTTAAATTTATATTTGAGATAAATATCAAAATTTTATTAAGGTTTATTAAGAATTATAATTACACGATCGGCGCGTAACACTTTCATCGAACGGTAATTTGACAAGCCGTTTTGCTTAAATAACTTTGTCGAGAACGTGGGCGTATAATGTCGACTAAAATATAATTGCCAGATAAAAGTGAATTCCTGACGGGAAGTGGGACGCGCGATAAAAGCGGCAAACGAGACCGGCAATGTAAGCGGGGAGGATGTGCCGGCTAAACTTGAACCGCGATATTATATGCAGCGCTACGTGCAACGATACGCATCGTGAGCAGTCATTGCACGCGTATGGCCTTGGCCGAATCGCGTTTGGAATTTCGTAACAATAGTTGCGCGCCGCTCCTCTCTGTTATTTTATTTAATCGAAAAATACAATTTTTTATTTTATATCATATCTTCGCAGATTATTACTTGTCCCGATATTTGCATGGAAAATGAATATATAACAGTAGATAATGTTGATGAACGATGAACCAAATCAAATATAATTATTTTAACCGAATTATCGTCGATTTTACAAAACGAGGGACGTCTATCTCTCGTTAAAACGAGCATGATACGAGAGCCATCAATCTTTTACACAACGTGTTAAAAATAAAAGCTTCTGATTATTATTCGTATACGTTATATATAATTATATTTTGAATATTGATTATGTAACTACGATTTTTTTTCGCTATAATAGCTTTTTTCCTTAAGCGTGCGAAGCTCCTTTCGATGTCAACGATGATGATGACTCCGGCGTGCCCATTTGTCATGCAGCTGCCATCGTTCGGTAGACGATGGCTCGCTTTCATCGATTATGCATTCGAATTTATATTTATGAAGCGTCGCCGCGTGCAGAGTGTCGCCGTACTAATAATGAATGCTGCCATATAAACCTCTTGAGCGTCGGGTGCAGCGACTCCGTGTTACATTCCTGTTGGCAGGCATCCGGGCCGGAGGAGCCGCCTACTCAAAATTTTCCGTATTATGCGGTTACACGTTTCGTGGATTTCTGTGAGAAGACAAAATAGATCCACCCTCCGATCGGAATATCAAACTTCACGCAAAATGCGCATTTCTTATCGCATTATTTCTTCCACCTCATGTGCAGCCTCGCGCGATTTCATCTTTATAACGATTTCGGGGATTCAGTAGCTAACTCTCGTAACCAAGATTAACGCAAATGTCAGTTACTGCCTACATCTCAATAAGGGATTACAGTGATCTCTTAGTGTTTATCTCTAAACAAGATAATCCTTGCTACGTTTATTCGTGTTTTCGCACGAGGAAAGTGACGAAGGCGAACGTCGAGCCAACACATGCGACATTATGTGCGGGGCGCGATCCGGTCGTTTCGCCACCGATTAAATTCCGTTTATAAAACCGAAACTGTGCGTGTAAGAAGAGCAGGGCGCGGTAAAGGAAGGAGGACGGTAGGGTATGCGCGGGGAAGACGGGCAGACACCAGACAAGTTTTTCGCGAGAGCGGGCGTGATTCTTTATTCGTGAGAAGAAGCCGCACTCTTTTTGCGACTATGTCCGCCGATGAACTCGAGGGAGAAATAATCCCGAAGAAAAATCACGGATGTTAGTGCGATCGAGAATCGTGACGTTCGATTTTCGATACACTTATCCGACCGATCTTTTTAATTATCGCATGTTTCGTCGCTATATCATCTTAATACCAGAGATTGGGGCTCGTTCCGAGACGAAACGACTTCCCGTTCTTGAAGCATTTAAATTCGTCGAATACAATAACTGTGAGTTTGATTATCGTAATCCTGGGCAAATTATCTGTGAGAGACGGAAATATGAACGACATAAACGCAACGTAATTTAATTTTAAACACAAAGATCGATACGTGTCGGCTTGTTCTCGACATGTTCGGAAACGATGGCGATCTTGGATAAGCACTTTGCGCCCTTACTTTAAATCGATGATACGATATCTTTATTATTAAGTCTAATGTTATATAATTTGTTTATCTCGGAGTATTCTATTTTAAAATGGCAAACATATTTAAATGGGACGTAGATAAAATCGCTTACAAGATAAAACCTCGTCTAATTGCTATCTGGAAAGCGGATAAGTATCGATACAAGTGTCTCGCTCACAGCGGTAACACTCGCATCTCGGAGTTATCCGTGTCGCCGATTAAGGAATAAGTAAAACCGCGAGTCCTTCGCGAGAGAACGCGTCGCGTTAGGTTTTCTTTCCGTGCCGAGAAGAAAAAAGCTACACGCGTCGTCGTTAGAGAGCGGCTCTAACAAGCAATAAGCGATATCGAGGCATCGCAATTCCCATCTAGTCCCGGTGCTTGAACCCCGCGGCATTTTTCCACATAGAAGTTGTCGCAGACGGGAAATAAATAAATAGAAAGCACCGTCGCGCGTTTCACGTATAGCGGCCCCGGCCGACTCCGTAGGAAATTGGCAGCAACCGGAACACACCGGCTACGTGTTTCTCACGTACATCTCGGGAACACGAAGGAGGATGACTGTATTTCGTTGCCTACGGCGCCGAGATGGGCGCGTCGCGCCATGATTTTCTCGAATCAAACCAATATTCAGTCCGTCGTGTCTTTCCTCGCTTGATCGAAAGCAACTGCTCTCCTTCTCCCCCTCTTTGTCTCGCCTGCTCTCGTTTTGTCTTCTATAAATATCATGAATAGAATGTAGCTTTTCGACGAAAAGCGGATCGTTGCGTCGAAACGGCTTTTTTCTTCATTCTTGTTTATGAAAACGTGCATTCGGTTCCGGAATGAACCGTCTCATGTAATCTTTTTTTTTTTATATTGCGTATTATTGTACCATCGTGTCATTTGTCGATTCATTCTTTTACCCTTTTGATATTTTTTCGATTTGAAAAAAATATATTTAATTAAATTTTTGAAAAATTCGAAAGTTTGTTATCTCTATTCTTTTCACAATTCTTCTGAAAATGAGAAATTTGCAGGAAAGAATAACTCTTGCTGTTGTCTCGTATCGAATATCTCTTATCAAATTCTATTCTCCTTATATTTCATTATTGGAATATTTTATGAGAGAAGGAGAAAGAGAAGGGAGAGCATTTAAAGGGCTCAATGGCGACAAATTAAATTTCCCGATATTAATTCTCGTATAACCATTTACGTCAATTCTCTTAATTTATTCGCGGCTCGCTCGAGCTTAATATTTTAATTTTGTAAATATTCTTCAGAGACACGAACTGTGATGTACACGCACATTCTCTATCTCTCTCTTTGTTTCGCACTTTAACCCTTCTCTCCCCCTCCTCTCTTTCTCACGCATCACGACGAACACGCAATCCGTACTTCAAGGCTCTCGTATGCTCCCGTGCCCCCGCACGCGGATGACTTGGCGGACGGTACACGCACCCGCAAAACTCGCGTGAGCCCGCACTCTCACATGCGTGCGCGCGTTCGCGCCCTCCCTCCATGTCGGAAAGATTGCACACTGCACCATCGCATCGTGAGGCCAACGGCCTCTCTCTCCGCATGGTATCGCCGACTCGCGCCGACTCGCCCGCTTCGTTCGAAGCGACAGCTCGCGCGACACGACGGGAAGCCGAAAAGAGAGCCGCGCGGTTATCCCTTTTTTTTTTGTCGGGCCTTGCCCGTCGGAGAGCTCGTATTGCGAGCGTCGT